CCCTTTTTAAACGGGTGGGGCGGTTGCCTTCTTTTTTTTTTTTTTTTTTTTTTTTACGCTAATGTCTATTTACTGCAGCGTGTTTGAGCAGGGGAAGAAACTCACCATGGCAATACGATAATGTCTCCATACGTCGCTCTGATTGGAGGAAACCCCGCAGTCCTCTTTCTCTGCAGAATTGCGGTTCATAGACATTTGAAGAATAGACGCCGCAGGAAGGGACGCCGCATGACCGTCAGTATGGAGCCATATTCAGTAAATTTGAAACATTGCTAATAAAGTTCATTTATTACAGTAATCCAATTCACTACTTAAACATGTTCTATACGTTAATTACATACATGCTGATATTTTCAAGCCTGTATTTCAATTAATTATGATTTTTGTGCTCATGTAAAATTAGAATATTACATAAGATCAATAAAAAACTTGTAGCTTTAAAGGATGTTTTCAAAAAGTAGTTTTAATCTAATAAACAATGCACATCAGAAGTCATATTCTAATTTGCAGATATTTTTATTGCTATTTAAAGAGGGTTTTCACAAATAACATTTATTTTATTTTACTTACCTTGACAAATTACCAACTGTAACTGAATTAAGCTTAGTGTTTAAATGTTTTTAAAAGTAATTTAAATTCACTCTAAACACAGGTTTATGTTTGAAGTCTTATTATTTGCAGATATTCCGTTTGTCTCAGTTCCTCACCTACATAGATGGACCAAATGGTACAGAGGAGTACAATTTGCTTCATAAAGGCCTATCTTTGCTGGTAAATAACATGTGCTGAACTTAATCAGCATACTAAGCTTGGTCCTACAATAAGAGTAATCAGATATATAAACATTTTTTATACTCAAAAGAGCATCAGGAGATGAGCCAGGAAAGGTTTATGTACCTCCACTGTTCTCTATATAAAATTAAATATGGCTCTTCTTGGGATCATAAGATGTACAGATGTTGGCCAGAGACTGGAACTGAGCTAATTTTCCCTTAACTGGTTTATATAACTAAGAATTCCCACTATTTTCAGTTTAAAGAGGCATCAACCAACACCATGTACACCAATCTACTGTTTTCAGTTTATTAAAAATGATTTAACGGTACATTTAGCTCATTTTTTGTGTACTCTTTAATATCTTACAATTCTAGAAAACCACTAATGACAGAAATATATGCAGACAACTTGAATTTCTTTTAATGTTTGGTCCATAGAACTGGTCAAGGACCAACAAATAAATAAATGGTTTAATTACTAAAAAAAGTGAATGCCCACTGCTTTTTTCAACGAAACTTTCAGTATCTGGCCATTATCAAGCACTACCATGGGCGTAGGTTTGGGTAGGGACGGTTGAGTCGTCGGACGTTCTTTGATTAGCTGCAAAAGGCGGCGGCTAGCTGGGCACACGCGTCTCCTTCCGAGTCTCCGAGACCATGTCGCCACCAAAAAAGAAAAGGACAGAGACATTAGAAGTTATTTCGCTACGTCGGCTGTAAGTACAGTGAGTGGACCCATAAGTTAGATCTATCACGCAACGCATTTGTTGTAAAGTCCGGTGTTTAGTAAGGTCAGCACTGAATGTGAGGTAGAATAGGTCTGTTAATTATGTAATATTTTTTCACATAGGATGCTCAGACAGCAGAGCAAGGGGCAGAGCAGAACGATGGAGAGGTGGCTGGAGCTTCAGGGCTCCAGGTGAGGTGTTAGTTCTCAGATATGAAATATACTGTGAAATTATCTCAGTTTATTATGAGCACACCATTATTAAGCCAATGTGGTTTCCCCCCCTTCTCAAAAATGTTCGGTGCTCTTGGGCATTTCACTGTGCTGCCGGGGGGCGGGGTAAGGTCCCCACCAAGGTCCCCACCAAAACTTAGACCGAACCTACGCCCTTGAGCACTACTCCACGTTTTTGACGATGATATCAATGTTTAAAGGGCAAACCCAAACAAAGAAAGCTCCAAAAACATGCCACATATCCCTAGCGGGAAGGTAAGTAAGTTATGTTTGATTTATCCAGAAACCCAAATTCCCAGGAAGACTTAAAGGTTTTCATTGAGACCTATACCACTCACAACATGGCAGACGCTCTGACATATAATTCCTACGGGGCAACGAAGCCAAAGCTCTGTCTGGTCTTCAATATCTATGCACAGATCATGATTCCGCCTACAAACCAAGACCCGCCTACTTCCCCCGCGCTAAAGCACGATTGGCTCAAATCAGCAACAGTCTCTGTCAATCCAACCAAACCCCGCTTTCTGATTGGAGGATTAGAATCCAGATGAGCCTCCTTCTTTTTTAGCACAATCACTTCGGGTTTTTTTTTTTTCGGCTACTACGGTTTTGTGCTGTTTGACCAATCCCTCAGCGCGGATCATTTCGGGGAGAGAATTTGGACTCGATTCGGTGAGAAACAACACATATTATATGTTTTATTCACATTTATTGGCGTACCGTAGAGTTAATAAAGTATCGGTCTGTTCAGATATTTAATTAAGGAGCAGCTGACATGATATTTAAAAAGGAAAGGAGTGGCTGATGGAGCTAACGCTAGCCGCCGCATACAGATTTAGCGGCTGCTGCTGCGTATAGATCTGATGCTGTCAGCTAGCACACTGCTTTACATACAGATGAATAGTCTAATATTTTATTGAGGTGATTGTGATTAAAGTGAAGCTAAACCACATTGATTTATTTATTTATCATTGATTTATGCCCTTTACATAATAGATATGCGTTTTAATTTTACATAACAAAATTCTTTCTTTAAAATGATCACTCTTAAAGATGGTTACATTTCATTTACAGCTTGTGTAGAAAAATTCCTCATCCACCCCCACTGACTGTCAGCGACACCGGGATTTCTTCATCTTAGAGAACCCCCCTGAACATAAAATAATGGACAGGACGGATCTGATCCAGAAGGCCAAGCTGGCGGAGCAGGCTGAGCGCTATGACGACATGGCAGACTGCATGAGGGAGGTGACGGAGATGGGAGGCGAGCTGTCAAACGAGGAGAGGAACCTGCTCTCTGTCGCTTACAAAAACGTGGTCGGGGCGCGGCGGTCCGCCTGGAGGGTGATGTCCAGCATCGGCCTGAAGACCGAGGGCAGCGAGAAGAAGCAGCAGATGGTCAAGGAGTACCGGGAAAAGGTGGAGAAGGAGCTGGAAGACATTTGCAACAATGTTTTGGTGAGTGCTGCAAATGTGCTGCTTACCCGAAAACCCATCTGTCTTGAAAGTCCTTTATATTGGGTCTTGTTAGATTTCAAAAGTACATTTATATTAGTAATTTTGTAAGGGGAAATTTAAAAAAAAAAAATTAAATACAAAGATATGTCTAAAACCTTTATATTTTACAGTTACTGCTAAGGGAAGCCTAACCTTAAAGCTACAGTATAACTTAAAAAAAAAAAAAAAAAAAAAAAAAATATATATATATATATATATATATATATTTTTTTTTTACATATTTATAGAAACTGTCACTATGCCTTGACAGTATGGTATGTGACAGATGATCTGTGAAAAAATCAAGCTCCTTGAGGCGGGTCTTAGCGCTGTCAATCAACCTCATGTGCACTTGCTCAATTCTTCCTGATAGGAAAGCCTGGTTGAATAATGGGCTTGTTAGCATGGCCACCAGTGATAACAGATGAGCGGTTTTCATTATTCACAGGGATATGTTTAAAACTTTTATACAGTTACTGCTAATGGAAACAAAACCTTAAAGCCTACAGTATAACTTTTTTTTTGTTGTTGTTGAAATTGTCACTATGTCTTGACAGTAAGGTAGATAATCTGTGAAAAAAAAATCAAGCTCCACTGCCTTCCCCCAGTGCTTGTACGAAACAACCAATCAGAGCTGGAGGCGGGTCTTAGCGCTGTCAATCACTCTCACATGCATCTGCTCAATTCTTCCTGGTAGGGCAGTTTGTCAGGAATGCTAGACTAGTTAGCATGGCCATCAATAAACAGTTTTATTCTAACCGTGAGTTGTTTCTCCACCAATTGAACAGTGAGTACACTAAGGTTGATTGACAGCGCTAAGACCCTCCTCCTGGCTATGATTGGTTGTTTTTGGTTGGGAACAGTGCGTTTCTACAGACGGCAATAACAGCTCAGGGAGGAGGTGGAGGAGATTGATCTTTTCACAGATTATCCATCTCAAACTGTCACAAAATGGTGAAAATTTTAAAAAATATGTAAAAAAAAACCAAAAAAAAAACGGAACAAACATTTATTTAAAGTAAAAGTCACATTCTGCAGCTTTAAGTATCTCAGAAAATTTAAATATGACTAATGGCAAAAGAAATGTGATTCTCCATATTATTTTCTGGGTAACAGGGTTTCTTCAGTCAGAGGCTTCTCCAGATTCACTGTAATACTGACTGCTACAGGAGATCCTTCTTGAATACAGCTGTCAGCATCACCAATTTTTTGAAAAATCTTGGATAAAATTACTTACACCACCCAGTTTCACTTTGAGATCAATAAATCATTTTTGAATTTGAGTTGAATGATGTTTGCACCAACATGGAGAAGATGGCAGACATCTGGAGCTTCTATAAGTTTAGATCTTTTAGAAATTGTATTTTGGGTTTTCACTGAATCAGCATAAATAGTCTTGAAACATAAAATATATATGTATATCAGAGTTTAATGTTCTTTGAATTTTGTAAATAACCTATTGATTATATTAAAATCAACTGAGATCAACTTGTACTTTATACATACATACAGTTTTTTATAGATACTCCTGAGTACATAATTGAATATAATCACTAATCATTTAGAATAAAATGGAAAAGAGGAGAAGAACATACTTTATAATCTTTACTGAACAAATGCTGAACTTAATCACTGCACTAAGGGTGTGAGCGCTATAAGAGTCATCAGAAATGTGATATAATACGCATTTAAAACAGAAGATCATCAGATGAAGATGAATCAGAAAAGGCTGGTTTATCTACCTCCCTTATTCTTAGAGTAAAATATCTTCTTTGTATCATAAGATGTAAAAATATTGGCCGAAATTGGACTAATTACTAAAAACTCCCAAAGTTTTCAGTTTAAAGAGGCAGTAACCAAGAATAATCCACATTTTTTAAGTTTATTAAAAATCATTTAAAGGTTCAAATTCAAAAAATACTTTTTTTCATCCCAAAGGAAAATTAAATCAATTCTCCAATTTTGATCAGCTGCTCCCTGTGGTAAACCACCCTGTTGCTATAGTTACGCATCATAAAAATGTATGAAAGTATGACAAATATTGCCAAAAATCACAGCAGTTGTTAAAAAAAATAGCAATTTTGCTCAGAGAAAGTTTTGAAAAAGAAAACATTTCAATGAAAGTACAGAGCTACTCCAATGTGCTGACACTCATTTCTAGAAAAGCATTTGCTTTAAAACATAATCTTGTAATTTCTTTGCTTTTGTTGGGTTAAACCTACAACCTGTATCGATTAACCTGTAGCTCATTTTTCATGTCCTTCTGAAAACCATAAACAATCACCATCCTAGTAATGAAGTCCTGTTTGTAAGGTTAAATGGTATTGAGTGCGTTTCCTGTGACTTCTCTCCTGTTGTATAAATAAAGTGTGTGAATCCGGACAGGATAAGGAAACACTACAGAGTCCTTCCCTCTCCCGTTCCTGCCTGTTGGGAATCTGGATTTAGAACAATGAAGCTTTTTTTTTTTTTGGGTGTGAACTGACAATGGGTTGTGGTACCGAGTCAGCAAGGTGTGTCTGAATAGACTGAGTGAGTTGAGCACACACACACACACAGGAAGTGTAAGACACTCAGGGCCCCATCTGGCAGACAGAAGCCTCTTGCGGTTGCCCCATTGCAAGAATTCACATGTAGAAATGAGTCAGAGCAGTTTCATACGTCGCACCAATGCAACGCCCTTCTGAAGCCTTCATTTCAAGATTTAGCTGCAATGGATCACCAGATGATGCATTTTCACTTTTGGCTGGATTTAAAAAGCCCAGACTTTATATTATTTCTGCTGTCAGAGTTGGGTTACTCAAGTAAGTAACTTTTTTGGGAAAAAAATCTACTTTTAGGAGTATTTTTGCTACACTGTACTTTTTACTTTTACTTGAATATTTTTTGCTTGAATAAAATTTCTGTTTTCTGTCCACTGAATGAAAAACATGTTTTAGCCAAAAATTCACCAGACACACACACACACCTGCAGTTTTTGTTAAATTTCATACATTTTTATTGAAATAATTTTTTATTCTTTTTTGTTACTTATATGAATAATTATCATTTTGGCCCTTAAAATGCCAAAATTTCCACTCAACTTTATATTTTGGTTCATCTGAATATGTAATTTTTAAATATGAAATGATTGATAATTTGATCAGTTACTCAGACTTTTTACCAAATGCTTTTTTTTTTTACTTGAGTAAAAATATGTTGGAGTAGTTCTACTCTTACTTCAGTACAATTTTTGGGTACTTTATCCACCTCTGCCTGCTGAGTGTCAGTCTGAGTAAATCTGCGTGGAAACGTATCTGTAGGATCAGGATAATCTGGATTTTGGAAAACCCAGAAAAGTTGTTTGGTCCGACTATCGCCAAGCAACACCTGAGAATGTCGTCTGGGCTGCCTGTGACTCAGCTCATCCCATCTGAGCCAGAGTGTGTGTGTGTGTGTGTTGAGAAGAAGAGGGTGTGTCGGTTCTCAGAGGCTTGACAAGTCGACTTTTCACCCTCAGTTGGAGAAACTGCTGGTTCTCCCCCGTCTGTGTTGATTTCCTGCAGCCAGATGTTGCAGAGGTGCTTTGGTCTCCAGCAGGGTTATGATAATTTTGTTTTTCATTGTAATGCAGTTTGACTTTTTTTTGTAACTAATTCAGTTAGATTTAGTTTTTAGAGTGTTTGCTAGTTTTTATTTACTTAATTGTTGTTTTTTTTAGTTACAGCAGAAGTTTTAGGGTTTTTTTTGTGAATTTTTAGGTGCTTAATTCAAAAATGTCAGTATTTTGATTATACATATGTTGTTTTGGAAATACTATTTTCGAAACCAACCAACTGACTCTGGTGTTTTCTCCCAACTTTCTCTTTGTTTTAAGTAATTTTATAAACTCACAATATAATTGCAGACAGTTAAACAAAAATGTTTTCTCAGCTTCAGTTTTCATTAGTTTTAGTTAAATATAAATTAATTATGGAATTACCTGCATCAGTTTCAAACTTAGTTTCTATTAAATTTTTTGATGAGTAAATTAGCACTAATTATAAAGTGGAAACATTCAAACCTAGTCATTGTAAAGCCAGAAGAAATGCACAACAAAAAGCAAAAAACAAGTTGTAGTATTTTCTAAGTAATTTATTTAGTATTTTGATACATATGGAGAGTGAGAAAATAAAGGTGAGTGACAGTAATTCTGTTTTTATGTAATAATCTCCTGTTTAAAATTCTTAAATTCAGTTAAAGATGCTTGCAAAAATTAAGGTTTATGACTGTGTGATAAATTAGGTGTCCGCTCATCCTTAAAAAGTCTTAAGTTCATCAAAATTTAAATGCATGTCCTTTATATTCATTTCATGCCAACACTATTTAGTCTTGTACATTCAAAAGCAAGCAACTGGAAATTAAACGTTGTCTTGCCTGTTCATGAAAAGATTTATGTCTTTAAAAAAGAAAAACCCAGCATGTTGCATTTTTATTTTTGTGTTATTTGATCCTAACCTTTCTAAAATTGAACCATTGCTTCCAATAAAGACAGAAATAGTTTGGAAAACAACACAGTGACCACCTAACAGAGCTTGAGGGGAATTTGGATTATTGTGAAACCTGGAGAGTCCCTACACCTGACCGACATCTAAACTCTCAGAAACGCTCTGACTTGGTTTTGAACCGAAGACCTTCCTGCTGTGAAGCAACAGCATCAAACTGCAGCCGGGCTTTCTTCACATGCACAGCTGCATACCAAACATACCTGGACATTAACAAAATGTCAGTATTTTGATTATACATGTTGCATGTCACGCTCACGCCATGCTGCAGCTATCCTAACAAATTTACTGTTGAGTTGGTGTTGAAAAAGTTTTTAGTAACTTCATAGGTGAACTGAAATGTTCTTGTTTTATATAAACTACCTAAAGTAATTGCCTCCCTCATCACTGCTTGAAAATCCTTTTTTAAATAATTTCACATTTCTAAAACTGTAAAAAAGGATACAATGTTCTCTGTTTTGAATCTCAGCTGTTTGATCTGCCCAAATCGACTAATTTTGTATTAGATACAGTTTCACATGCAAGTTCAAGGCAACTCTTGCATAAATGATGTCATTTCAGGAAGTGATTAAGTCCTCATGTGATTTGTGATTTTGTACCAAAACAGCACATTTTGCTATTTCAAGCCTTTAGATTTACATTAGCTGCTGTCGAGGTGTCTCTTAAAGCTGCGGTACAGTTTTTGTTTTTGTAGATTCAGCATTTTTCTGACTCTGCAAAATCTACAAACTCTGAACTTCCCTGGCAAGTTTAGAGTTTGAGATTCAGAATTCAGGATTGACATGAATTTGATTTGACAGATCAGATACTCACACAAAAACATGTAACATTATGCAATTAAAAAAAATGATGAAGCCAAATCAGAGTCGTCTTAAAGTGGAAAATGTAAGATGCGCCACAAAGTTGATTTATTTTTAATTGAATGTTAAATAGGACCTTTACTGAAAAAAAAAATGTTGGGTTCAACTGTATGTTAAGCTAAATAAATAAAAAATGAACCAAATCCTGGTCTTGTTGCTGAAAATGCAAATGAAACCAAATCTAAACAAAGATGATCGGCGTTTAGGACATTTTATTCAGTTTTTTTTATCTTTTTAAACCTGCAAGACCCTTTATATATTTTGCACCAATAATTATTTACAGATTGTGTGTTTTGTTGAAATATTATGTGTTTAATTTATTGTTGAGCAAGTAAAAATGGAATAGAATATTCCCACAAATACTTTCAATTTGACAGTTTTCTAAAACTTGCTCTGGATCCCTATGCAGTCTGAAATATTATTGAATTTTATCATTTTCTAACATTTTTTTATTTTTCTTGCCTTTTTCTCCTCCTTTTGTTTTCTGAAGAATATAAATCGTATAAGTCTGATAAAGCCAGTGGTTTAATCCATACTGAAAAGCTTTATGCTTGATCTTCCACATCATAACTTCATTTTTATCATCTATTTTAGTGATGATGTGCAAAAATAGCTTTAAGTGAATATTAATCTGTAGCTTTGGTATAATTTATTAAAATTAGTTGGCTCCCAGTATTACTGCTGTACAATTTGATATTAAAATCTTTCTATCTTTTTTGCAGAAACTGCTGGATAATTATTTAATCACCAACTCCAAAAACCCAGAGAGCAAAGTCTTCTATCTAAAGATGAAGGGAGACTACTACAGATACCTGGCAGAAGTTGCCTCTGGAGACAACAAATCGAGTAAGACCACAACATTCCTTTAATTTCAGTAATCTGTTTCATTTTAATCTGCTTCTAAAAGTTATTTACCAAGTTACGTAACGGTTATTGTTTTTAATCTTTTTGGTTTGTTTTAGAAACTATTGAAAACTCACAGCAAGCGTACCAGTCTGCGTTTGACATCAGCAAGACTGAGATGGAGCCCACACACCCCATCCGCCTGGGACTGGCCCTCAACTTCTCAGTCTTCTTCTACGAGATCCTGAACTCCCCAGATAAGGCCTGCGAGCTGGCCAAGAAGGTTGGCAGGCTTCCCGAACGCCGCCGCCGTCTCTCCACTACGTCGGATGGAAACGCTTGAACGTGCATCTTTTCTTTTTCAGGCGTTTGACGACGCGATTGCAGAGCTGGACCAGCTTCATGAAGAGTCCTACAAGGACAGCACCCTCATCATGCAGCTGCTCAGAGACAACCTGACAGTAAGCGCTGCTTTCTGATGAACTCTGTTTAATTACATTGAGGTGTCTAGAACGGCCCAAAAACGAAGAAATTTAGAGATTAATTTCAGAAATTTTCTAGAAAAAAAAAGAAAAATTCAGAGTATGAAAACTTGAAAATTTGCCTGTGGCAACTTGGTCATTTTGAGATTAATCTAAAAAAAAAAATTGTAGAAAGAACATAGAAATTTCTGTAATTTTGAAAAGCCAAATTTGACTCTGTACAGTGACCCTAATAAGCCGATACAGGTCTCTTAGACAGGGGCATCTCAATAAATATTTCCAGTTAAAATGGAAAATAATATTTTAGAGTCATGTTACAAGTGTTTTATCTGTTAATTTGGATACATCTCAAGAGGATTATTCCTCTGAAAAAATAAATAAATAAAAATTTCTGACTTTTTTTACTTCAGACTTCTGATTGTGAAAACTTCACACTACACCTGAAGTGACTTGGATTGTGAGCCTTTCCAAACTTTGTGACATTGATTTCAGGGGAAAAAAAGACTCAACTCAAGGAATAGATTGTATATTATATCCTGGATGTGTCTGCATGTGCTAAAAATTTTTTTCCTTCCACTAAACCTTCCATCAATATGATTGGATGCAGAAATGTATTTAGCAATTACCATTTTGTGGCAATCATAAATATAAATAAAGATAAATCTTTAAAGAAGTGAATCTATATTAGGAGTTTCACCTTTTGAATTAAGTAACTGGCATTAAATACTTTTCAATGATATCCACATTTATTTAGAGTTATTTGGGACTTGGTTAAAAAAGTAACATACAGCAGTATGTGCTTTGTATCGAGGTCACATGAACGCTGCTTACATGTGAAGTTTTCCTTCCGGTTTCACTTCTATCTTTTTGTTTCCTCGTTCTTTAATTCACTGTTATCTGCCAGTCACCACTGGCCTGAAAACGGTTGACTGGAAAACCTTTGGTGGGTTGTCTATAGCAACACTCTGAAAACCATTAGATCTTACCAAGTATTTTTGGTCTAATTTCTACCGCAATTATATTTCCTCTGGATGCTAAGACAAAACTTGACTTATTTCAACAAAACTAACTTACAGGTAACTTTTTAGCAAAATATATGAGCTTGTTTTAAGTCAATAATTCCTTGATGGTAATAGTCCCACAGTCAGATTTGTTTAATTTATAACAATTTTCTTGTTTTTCCAGTGGAATTAGTACTCTTTCCTCAATATTAAGAAATTATTAGCTTAAAAAAAGCTTTTATGTTGCTGAAAAGTTACTTGTAAGTTAGTTTTTCTATTTCAAATAAGTTAATTTTCTCATTTCAAGTGAACTAAGAAACTAGACCTGGTAAGATTGTGTGTTTTTGCAGTTGAACAACCCCTGAAATCCTGAAAACACACGATTGCATTTGAAAATTCAAAAATAAAACACTTCCTGTGCTCCTGTTTAGATTTTTAATCAGATATTTTTTGCGTCTCCACAGCTATGGACATCGGATAACGCTCCTGAGGAGGGCAACGCCGGAGAAGGAGAAGCCGGCGAGACGGAGAACTAGAGCATGCATGCCCCAACTGTTGGGAAAACGACAGAAATGATTTTAAAAAAAAATTACGAATAAATCAACTTTCCTCGTTGTATGCTTCATAACACTCCACTGCTACATTCCATTGCTGAAAAATGATCTTAAACAACCAAAATAAAGTCTTTCAACAGATCAGATTTGGAGACTTCCTTCCATTCCTGTAGTTTTTCTCTCGGCCTTCCCATCTTGTGCAGGTTCAGCTGTAGAAAAGTAAATAGGAATCTGATGTATGAGATCCCTGGAAAGTTGAAAACCTGATCATTTCATTGCATCGTTTTGCAGTTTTTCTACCAGATTAGTGGTACTGTTACTTTTGCTCTGGGTTTAATTTGAACTAATTGTAATTTTTTATTCTTCAGGGAAAAGCCGGTGCACTTTCACTTGCTGGCTGAAGATGTTTGAACACAGCCAAGTACTGCCCAGTGGTTTGAACGTTCACTCCCTGCCAGTTCTGATCCCAGTGATGCGTTCACTGACGTCTGCTTGGGGTGAACTTACTGATGCCAATTAGTTTGTCAGTGGAGAGAAGCCATTCCTGATCCTTCACTTCTCTTGAAATTTTACACTGGAATGGGAACAAATTTAGTTTTAGCCACTCTACAGAAGTGAAATTTGTTGGTCTGTTGGTGATGTACCATGTTTTTTTTTTTTTTGTTTGTTTTTTTGTTGAGATTTGGACCACTTTTTTGTTTTCTAATGAATTCAGTTGGTAGTCCTTAAACGCCTCGTGGAACTGTTGAATCCTGATGCATCCACTATGTTAACGTGAATAAAACATTTTATAAGCCACGTCAATGTTCGTTCTTCATTTATACTTTTGGATTTAGGATGTATCTTTAGTTTAAAAGCACAAAGCATCACTGCTTTATTTTTATATATTTGTTTACATATTTTGTTGCAGCATTAAATGACTTTTAAGATGGAAGTCATTTTATGTCCTAAATAAACTGCAGAGTATGACAGAATGTTAGGGCTACACTAACATTTAAAAAATAAAATTACAAAAATAGTCATATGGCAACTTTAACTCTTTTTATACATATAAAAATTAAAAAAAAAAAAAAAAAGAAGCCTTTGTAGATTTGTTCATTCATTTTAGTTGAGACATTGCTTCTTTTGGTCGAATATTCTCATTTGGTTTTAGATGCTGTGTGGCTGAAGGTATTTTAGCTCTTTTGTTTTTTTTGGAGGGCTGTCATGATGTGTCACCATGGCAACAAGGAGTTGGAAAAATATGCTTCATGGCTGCAGAGCTGAACCACAGAGTAGAAATAACCATTTCTTCCATTAATCATAATGGGAAAGGATCAAATCACTGACTCCGGTGTCTCCCTGCAGTTTTCTAACCATCCAGTCAGAGTGACATTTAAGAAGCGGCTGAACATTCCTGTATTTTATAAAAAGGCAGAACAATATCTAAACTTGCTTTAGTGGCTGTTGATGTATCAGTGTTAGAAAGTATCTAAAAGTTGTTATCCATAAGTGTGTGAATGTTTTTATATTATTTTGGATTTAGACTATTTAAAGACAATTTAAGTTTATATCCGGTGTATCGCCATAAATATCTATATAGTTTAAACGTTATTCAAAGTAGCTCAGTTTAAAAAGAAATTTCATCGAAAACCTAATTATATAATGTGATACAAGAGTTTATTCTCTGTCTTATTTTTTAGTTTTCATTAGCCATCAATCTCAATCGTCAATCGTATTTCCGTGAACAAACTCCTCCCTGCCGCTGCTCGTGGTTTCCCGCCGCTTCACTGTCCGGCGAACCGTGAACGAGCGAACCCATTTCTTTCGGGCGGATGTTTTCCACTGAGAGCACTTCCGGATAGCTCCTCTGCTATCCTTACCATCAACCAGCACAATTTTCCACTTTTAAGTGTGACATAGCTGCTTCAATATGATGAACGATTTATTAGTAGTCGTTTTTGCTTGTTTTTCGGTGAACGGTGTAATAACATCAAGGATTACCTCGGAGGAAAATCACGAAAATGAGCCGGAGTTTGGTAAATATAGCAGTGACTTTAGCTACCATTAGCTAATTTTAAACCGCTGTTTTAATGGTGTTAAGTGGAAGTTGTTATTGAACACAGTTAAAACATAGGTTTATTGTCTTTAATTCCCAGTTTTGAGATGTTTTACATTTTAAATCAATCTTTTTGTGATCAGACCCGGGAGTTCAGTGATACTATCGATGCTTCCCTATTTATTTCATAGCAGCTGTTTTCTATTCACACATTCCAGGAACTCTGGATTCCATGCTGTCGGACTATGAGGTGCTGCCTGTGTCAGGCTTCCAGCTGCACTCTGTGAGAAAGAGGGACGTCCACACCCAGTCCAACCTGGAGCGCCTGGTTAGCTTCAGAGCCCTGCAGAGGTACAGGATTGAATGATGGATCCCCTCACACCAACACCTGTCCTCTTTCAGATCATCAGAAATGTTCCACCCTCATTTGTAATTGGTGCCTTTAGTTTTTAAGGGTTTAACTATTCCACATGAAGAAGCATTAAAACGATTTCCAAATAAACCCAAACTCATTTCTGCAGGTAGAAAGTACCTGAAAACAAAGGCAAATTGTTTAAAAGGTGGGAAATTCTCAGTGATTTAAGTCCCTCAGTTTGAATTAGGTTTGCAGCTAAAGATTATTTTAGTAATTAGTTATTCTGACATCAATCGGATAAAAAATTTGGCTCATTCTGTAGCTTTTTCATTTAACAACTTACTAAACATTATATTGCCTAAAATGCAATAACATAACATTACTTTAGTGAACGCTTGATTATTTGTAGAGAAGGATGCATGTGCAGCAAAAACCAATACTATTTTATAATCTGTTGATTATTTCTTGGATTAAAATATACTTAAGAGATTTTTTTAATCAGGTTTTGAACTATGTTAAGGTAAATCTGCGACTTGAGGAGTTTTGGGTTGAACATATTTACAGACAAATGTTTTCTTTTTATCCTAAATGCAAAATGTTTTCATTTTTTGAACAGTTTTGACTTAATTACTGCTCTGAATGTGTTGTTCTTTTTAGGAAATGGCCTGTGCCATCTGAGTTGCACAAAAATAATTATAGTTTCATCAACTATAATGAATAGTTATAGTTATTCATTATTAAATGTCCTTTTAAACATTTAATTTTAAAGTTACAGTTTCAATAGAAGTGATGGGTGCCGCTCCTTTTCTGATTCTGACTGAGATTTTTGCAAGTGCTGAATTTGTTTTGCAAAGCAAAGGAAAAAAATACCCAAAAAACATTTTTTTAAATAAAACCTTAGTAAATTCTGATTAGTTTCTTTGTATCTTTTCATCCACCTGAAGAAACTTTGTCAGTTTCTAAAGGACGTTATGCAGATTTGAAGGGAAACTTAACAATAGTTAACATGTCACATAAGTCATGGTGCATTTGAATAAACATATTTTAGGCCTTTTAAATTTATTTTGTTCTATTCCTCTTTCACCACGGTAATGGCAAAAGAGAAACTCTTCAGGTTTTTAAGTTTTACAGACGGTATTTTGAGACTGTATCTTTAATTTCAAATACATTAAACTTACTACAGTTTTTTTTTTGTCTTTTTATTTTTATCTTCAGAAATTTCAAGCTTTACTTGACCACCAACACTGCCCTCTTCACTGACGACTTCAAAGCAGTGATCGTTGATAAAAACGGGGAGGAGCAGAAATACGACGTCTCACTTCAGAACTATTTCACTGGGCATGTTGTTGGTGAGTTGGTGGAGATGCTTTTAATTAAAACGTACTTTCCCTTTGTGCAGAATTACCCAGATTAATTCCCGACAGTTAATTTAAAACTAAAATAGTCCAGGAGGTATTTCAGATTCACGATTTGCTTTCCAGGAGAGGAAAACTCACGTGTGCAGGCACACATCGACGGAGACGAGTTTTCTGCTCATATCCTGACGGATGAAGCAGAATACAACGTAGAGGTATGAAATGTTTCAACTTTTATTAATTAATTTTCATCTTTAGTTGCCTGGCAAGCAGGTTGATGGTAAAACAAAAAGAAAAACAAGTGAGACACACAACACATAGTTTACAGAAAATTACAGGAAATGGTTAATAAGAGTACAAAATAGCAAGTCACACCCATGAAAACAAACATTTAAAATATCTGTTAATTCAGAAATGTTCGTTTAAAACATGAATGTTTGGTCCAACCTTATGAAATGAAATGAAATGAAGAAACAAAGGCTTGTGCTATTTCTAAAAATTGGTTACAAACATTAACTGCGTTTCAGTGGATTTTTAAATGTATATTTCCAGTGAAATTATTAAAGATTAATTTATTTAAAGTCTATAATAAGTCTGAACAGTAGCCTTATATTTTATGCATTATTATCTGAGTAGCTTTAAATTACATTTTTAGATAAATATGTTGATTATTTCAAGTCTGCAGTCATTTGTTGACATTTATTTGAAGATACAAGATGATAATTTGGTATATTTACTTCTTTTAGCAGTGGGAACATCTCTAATTAATTTACTTTCCTATTTTTCCGTTTCAGCCCCTGTGGAGGTTCACAAATTCCCAGGTTGACGGCAGGTTGCTGGTCTACCGATCGCAGGACATCAAGAACCTGAGCCGGATTGCTTCTCCTGAAGTTTGTGGCTACATCCGCGTAGAGGCTGATGACCTTTTACCTCTTTCTGCCAGGAGACAGGAAGAGCACAAGCGTTTGGTTCCTGAAAACGGTGAGTTCTGCTGCCCAGTTTGCTCAGATTGTGGATTAAAGCTGGTCATGTTGGTGAGTAGACGGTGAATAGAGATGAAATGCGATAAACTATGAGAACATTCATAAATAAATCTGCCTAATAATCTGATTAAAATATTTCTAAAGGAAGAAATGATTTAATTCCTGTTTTAAGAAGGAAGTAGATTACTGTATATGTCAGATTAAGATTCATCCAGCAGCAATTAAGCAGAGATTAATTACTAAAATTAAATCGATTATACTGTCTATTAATTCTCTAAAAAGTTCTTCTGTTTCTGGAAGATGATATTTTATGAATAAAAACATTTTAAATAATTAAAGCTGGTTAAAATCAACTGTTAAGAATTGTCGTTATAAAAACCTTTAATAGAAAGGGGGGAACCATCGTCTTTGGG